AGCATGAATCTCTCGTAGCCCCGAATTCTTCAGTGTAAAACTTCGCTGTTCCTCTTGCTACAAGGTCTGTAGCCTCAATATAGAAATAATATCCTAGAAAATACATAAAAAAAACGATCATCAAGGAAGTCATGTCACACATATTATATGAATAGAGAGGAGTATATTGGCGAAGAGATGACAAATTCATCTCACTCATTTGTATTTCAAACATGATCAGAATTATCAATCGTTATCATTCTTTTTTTGATTATGTAATTGTCCGAATAATGTACAAAACATGTCATCAGATGAATAGGTTAGATATATCATTGAACAAGTATCGTGTTCACAAATATATTGGAATGTTTTAATTTCAGTTTTACTTCGCCAGTTGTTTAACTCAAAACAAATGTTGTTCGGCATATTGTTTGTTACCTGCCAAAGTTGCTTTTGACTTGAAGTTCCTGCTGATGACGAGTATGGTGATTTATATATAATGTCAGTGTTGCAGATTTATCTGTCATAGTCTCATTCATGGATTTTCATAATTATGTCATCATTGTTTTATAATGTTACGGAATAGTTTTTACTACATTAAGCCATTAAACATTACTCAAACTGGAAATTGAATTACGTTAAATAGCCAAAACGTCAACATATATAGCCGATACCTGACCCTGTGACCAGTTCTTACAATTCTCCTGTTAATCGATGGTTTGAAATGTGTTTGTCTATTTTGAAATTCGCTTGAAACTAATTTACACTTTATGACTGATAGTCAGTCGAATTCAGGGCACATAATGCTACAAAATTGCGTGATCGAAAAGCGGCCATACAAAAGTGATAGATACCGAGAACAGGACGTCATCTACTTTCCTGAACAACAGCAGGAGTGCGGACAGGCACATTTCAACCGATGCAATGTGAAACAGTAAACAGTAGTTACCCGATTAGTTGTTTACTTCGTTTGGTCTCCCACTTTATGAAGTATTGCCAAGGTGGATGGTAACACGGAATTTATATCATAGTCAGGTCTATTAACAAAGATAGAGGTGCCCATATGCCAAATATGTCAATCAGTTTGGAAAACAAATTGCTGCTTTTACTAAGCAGAGGATCTAGGGGACTGTACAGAAAGTACAGAAGGGGATGTTTTAGTGGGGTGGTTCACTGATTTTCGTGCAAGTGTTGATTACTGCTGGATTAAAACTCAGATTTATTGTAGTGTAACAATATGATATAATAAGTGTTTACAATACCAATAGCCACTGTTTGTTTACATGTATTTCAGCAGATTGTAATTAATAGGCAAATGTAACTTTTATACTAATATCTAATACTCTGATTATTCAAATGTGATCTTAAGCCATGATTATTTAGTGTAAGAGGAATTAAGGCTGCTAGTAATAGTTAATAATAATATTCGTTCTAGCTATGGTGGAGACTTCGGACTGCACAGGGTATTGAGGAGGCAGGGCAGGGGTCCTGGAGCGCTGTGAGTCGATGGATAGGCATTTGTCACGAGTGCCTCAAGCCTGGCTTATAGAGCAATGAAGCAGCTACGCAATTCGGCATCTGTGATGTGCTGCTGTGCAGTGGAGGCGACTAATGAAAGGGTGCTGACGGGTGAGTCTGCGATCAGGTCTTGATGGGCCGAATAATATTAGGAGCTATTCCAGGCCGAACTTCCAAACAGTGAGCTCAGGGTTGATGGTCCTCCTGCCCTGCAGGTGGCCTCTCTCGTCAGTTGCAACCCACCTTGCATAGAGGAAACTCGAATAGCATTGGGTCAACTGCGGGATGGGAGCGCCCTGGGGTGTGTGGGATCCATCCCGAGATGCTCCGGCTGGAGGTGAGGCTACCCTGATGTGGTTGCACAGACTGATGTGCTCAGTGTGGAGCACTAGCGTCATCCCAACTGACTTGAGAAAGGGTCCAATTGTCCCTATCTGGAAGGAAAAGGGTGATGCCCAGGACTGTAGCAATTGCAGAGGGGTGATGCTCGTGTCGGTAGCCGGCAAGATCTTTGCACAGATTCTTTTGAACCGTATCCGCCAACAGCTGCTTCTCCATCATCATCCCGAGTAGTCTGGCTTTACTCCCAAAGTGCTGTTAAATGTCCTGGTGGCATGTCTGTCTATTTTCGAGGCAGGAGTTACGTATTGTTCGCTTTTCTCATTCCACTGCTATGTTCGGCTACAAGGCAGACCTTTCATCCCCATCCACCCTTTCCTTCACAGTATAATTTGTTATCATTTTTAACTTTTTCGTGTAGGTTTTATAGTATTATTGTAAAATTGTCTTCACAGGAATGTATTCACCCCAAGCTAGAGGAAAATTGTGTTGGTATGGTTGCTGTGCTGGCATGCACCCACAAGCCTACATATTTAACAAGTAGTTTTGATTTACGGGAAATGTTATGCATGCCAAATATAAAGTTACGGACCAAAAGCATAGCTAGTAGAGTTAATAAATGGCTGATCTAGTATTAACAGAAATTAGATGTATGAAATTACTCCCAAAATCAAAATATATGGTCAGAAATTAAACAGGATAAGCTATTCATGCATTTGTATTTATCCGAACTGAATTTCCTTTGTCTGGGCTCATGGACAGTAGTTCGGTAGATATAGTAGTATGGTCAAAAAGCACGATTGCAGGCAATCAACCATCTTTGATCCATAAACAATGTTTGTATCAAACAAAAAACGACAAATCCTGTCGAAGAAACCTAATTTTTTTTTTAAAAAGATGAATGCCAGTCTGCCATCTTTGCTCTGATATGGAATAAATTGATATGAACATGTATTCCTATATATGAAAGTGGTCTAAAAGCCTTGGTGATATAGTTGTTTGGTCAAAAAGCAAGATGGCCACAAGTCGGTTATCTTTAATCCGATTGTAAACAAATTTTCGTGGACATGTAATCTAAAACGTACAATGCATGTACCAAATTTTAACAAAAACTGACAAAGCATGAATAAGATACCACATTTTCCAAAAAGCAAAATTACTGCCAGTCAGACAACTTTGATCCGTTCATGAAACGAATTGTCATATACATGTATCCAAACAGGTATAATGTATGTACTAAATTTGAACAAAAATTGACAAAGCATGCATACCATATTTTCAGAAAACAAAATGGCTGCCAGTCGGCCATCTTTGATCCGATAACAAAACGAAGCATTATAGACATTATCCTAAGATGTATAATGTTTGTACCAAATTTTAACAAAAACTGACAAAGCATGCGTTAGATACCACATTTAT